GATATTTAGAATTTGGTTTATGATGATGATAGAGGCACTGGTAGGCTTCCAAATTGCTTTAATCTTGTAAATATATCAATAAAACATTTCCCAACTGAGCCCTCTCCATATAGTGGCATTTCATTTTAAACACGGAAGAACACTATTTTGGGTATTTTAATGAGACAATTTGGGATTCTGATCAGCAAATTTGCAATTTTTAAACAGGGAACACCAGGATCTCTGCTGGCAAGACAACTGACAAGACGTGGGTGGAGGAGTCTGTCCCGAGCCAGCACTGGTGACCCAACTAGAGGGCAGACAAAGTGGCTGACCTCCTGCCATCTGGGGCCAAGAGGATATGCTCTGACAGTTCAAAGCAGGCAACAGCAAACAGCACATCTTCTGGGTGACAGCTACCCAGACAGTAGAGCGGGGGCACCCCATCCTGGTCTGGCAGGTGTGCAGCCATGGGGCCACAGGTCCAATCGGGTGGTGCTGTTGCAGGTGGCAGCAGGTCACAGACAGGCAGTAGCTCCCACTACCAGAGTGCTGCAGTTGGTAGAGGGTGCAGGGGCCACTCTAGGTTAGGGCTGCTTCAGCAGTCCAGCTGGCACAATAGTGTCCCCACATACCAAATGGCTGGGCCTCAGAAACTCCCTGAGTTGCTTGCCAGGGGAGCTCTTTATACTGTTGTGGTCACCATCTGTGCTGGCCCCAGGTTCTAGCTCCTCCTGGCTGCAAATGCGGGAGAAGCTGGGAAGGGTCATTTTGCCCCACGTGGCACAACTTGCCCCACACCAGAGGGCACATCCAGGCTGAGGCAAAAATCTCTGGCACAAATCTGTGCCACTCTTATTTGAGCTCCTGCAAGCATACATGCCTGTATGTGTGGACATGCCCAGTCTGGCCTTTGGCTTCTGTCTCAGGGGCCTAAAGGTGGGATGGACAGTCTGGACAGCCTCCACTCCTCCAAAGACTCCTGCCTAGGCATATGCATCAAATGTCTGGGTGACCTCTTACACATATACCATGATCTGGTAGGATCAATGGTTCCCAAAATACATGTTAAGAAAAATACTGCTATTGCTAGAGCAGCTTTCTTGTCAACACGCTGAATCATAAAGTGTTTTAGGATCCATACTTGCTATCACAGACTGTCATGGAAAGTTGTGTGTACAGGTGCTGAGAAAAAAATGCAAGTGACATATGGTGTTAGTGATAAGAGATTCAGAAAAAAATTTTCAGGGGAAAAAATTGTGCTGCACAATTCAGATCCTGAAAGTGATCAATTATGTCACGGTTTTCATGGTCATCTCCCTTCCCAACTGCCCCTCACACACAGTTAACAACTCTGAATCACTACTGAAAAGCCCATTATTGCTTCCAATTGGCCAATACCAGTAGCAATCAATTTCACGTGAACATCTTTGTGCTTTCCCCCCATGCTGCCTGTCATACTTAGGAAGAGCTCAAAATTAATATCAATTGAGCTACCTAGTTATTTTCTTTCAAGGCCTTCCTTTGTTCTAATGCCTGTAAACCAAAATTAGGCTACTAACAACTGCCTAATACCATCCCACTGTTTCTTGCACCTTTGCCTCCCATCAGTCTCTAACCATGTGTAACTCATTGGGGCAGGGACTATGTTTTTGAATAGTGGTTTGCACAATGGTTTCCTGGTCCATGATTAAGGCCACTAGGCATATAGTATCATAAATAAGAATTTGAAAATAAAGTGGTATTGAATTAAAGCAATGAATTCAGATTATTAAACATGGTAATTCTTATACACACTCAAACTGATTTAACGGTAAGGAAGGAATTATTTATTAAGATTTAATAGAAAAAAGCTTTGATTTCCTTTTTGTTTATCCTATGGACAAGCAAAAATATCCTATAAAATCTATTACAACAGGGTGTCACATACAGGTTTAATCCATTTCTTATAAATAATTAATAAAGTAGTACTCCCAGCACCTTCCAGAATCAGGAAACTTCATTATCTATTATTTTTATATTAGTAGCTTCTAGGACCTTTTCATGCACTGATATCCCTCTGTAAGAGCACAATGAAAAGGTCACTACCCCAAAGGCTAAAGTACAAACAGTCAAAAAGCTCAAGGCTGAATCGATTCAATCTTTGCAGGTTGAATCTATGCTGCATAGATTGAACCGATAAGCAAGTGAACAGATATTCACGTTTGATTCCAAAAAATGCAGCCACATGCCTGTAGTGGCCCAGGCCAGAAGCCAGAGGAGGACAATTGAGAACACCTCCCTGCTCAGTTGAAGCAGGCAGCTTGGGCCAAGGCTAGCCTACCCACCCTGCAGGGGGAGGAGAGGGAAAGTTTGCAGGAGAGATGCAAAGCATCCTGGGATGTTGGGAGACTGAGTTAACTTGAGCCTGGAGAGAATCTAGGACAGAAATTCAATAGACTGATTTAAAGCAGTTAAGTCTTGACATCCATCCAGGTTTATCCTAAACCAGTTTCAGTCATTTTGAAAGTAGTTTATGTGCACTAAACTTCAGTTGTGTTATAGGTTTAAACCGGTTTCTGATCAATTATACCGGTTACTGTTTATGTGTAATTTCTGTTCCTAGGCACAACTGTTATAACTTTTGTTAGTTTCTTTAGTGGAATTGAGTGATAACTTTCAGACACCCAAGCTAAAAATTGAGCCATAAGATAATACCATAAAAGAAAGGGGTTCCTTTTCAAAAGAGGTGGTGCCACACAAATAAACTGATCTTGAGCACAATACACATTCACTCAACTGAGAAGACTAAATTGCTTTTCTAGTCCAATGTACTCTCTTTATTCCATACTTGTTAAATATATACACATATTTTTGGAATATTTTCTTAGAGGCCTTAGAAAAAAAAATCAATTTATTAAAAATAACCTGAACTTTTAGGAAATGGGTAAGTTAAAAATAAATTTGCAATTCTGAATGGATTTCCTGACAAACTGTTTTAAAATGTTGGTCATATTAAAAAGTTAGAAAGAACAGTTAAAGCAGTATTAACTGGATCACTGGGAACAGTCATATACTATACTTTTGCATGTTATACTGCTACTCTTGAGCCTTAGATTCAAAGACAAATTCAGAATAGTGGAGACCAGGCTTGCTACTAATACAGGACTATAGTGGAATTGGTTACAATGTAGAATGCACTTTTATTCATGTGCACTCCCAGTTGAAGGAGCATGGATCAAAACTGACAACTGTCCCCGAAAAAGATGCACATTATCCCTTTTCAATGCAAGGAAGACACTACACAAAAATGACTATTCTGGCTGAGAATGGAAGGTGAAATTGGAGTTAAAATGTACGAATAAACCAATCCACAAATAAAGGAGTAGGTAATAGCTTAGATCTCTGGGGACTGCACACACAAAACTGCAAGAGGCATGTAGTATATTGAATTGGTACCATATTGAAAACGTTTTGCACTTGTTCTTTGATCTATTATTTTACAGGCAAATTACAAGAGCAGCACAAAAATACCGTTATGCTCATTTGTAGGTCTGTTTTTCACAAAAAAGGATAAGAATTGACATAAAAGTATAACACACACTAATACACAAATACATCTCTTCCCATTAGTCTTAAGCATTTGAGAAAACTTGCCAGGGACCAGTACAAGAGTCCAAGGAAAAGCGATATTGTAAAAGTGGCAATGCCAAGATTTTAATCACAATTCAAAAGAAACAAAGTTTTTCTCATTTATGTCACCATCAGTAATTCCTTCCACTATTCTGTAATATACTAAAACTTGCTTCTGTCATTGGGGTGTTATTCTGTGTTCAAGAATAGGTTGGTGCAGACAGAATGAGAAATTAAGGACATGTCTACACCAGAAAGTTATCCTGGGAAAACTTCTTGCCAGCATGCCACTCCTGACATTGCTGTGTTGGTACAGCATATATGCACATGGCTACTTTGGCCACTGATGTGGTGCTTTACCATAACAGATCCTGGGTAAAATCAGCGTGTCAGGGCTAGACATCTCAGTAGTCCTCATAGCATGCTGTGTATACTGCTCCGTGGGGCACTCTGAAGTGCACTATGACATAAGGATCTCTGCACTCAGAGAATTATGATAATTCAAGGTCAAGTGCCAGGCTTCCTACTGGGTGTATGTTCATACCTCTAAAACTAACATAAAAAGAGAACAGGATTCAGGTGGGTTTCTAGATCTCAATTCACAACAGCATAGAGAAGACAATACAATCTCTTGCTGTGTAAGCTTTCCCATCTTTGGTAGGACGGATGCAATGGAAACTGCCAACAATATGAAATCACAAGAATGCTGTCAAACCTCTACTATAAGAGGGTGAAATATAAGAAAAAGGTACATGCATTAAACATTTAAATTATTAGCAACAACTGTGATAAATGCAATAAATTGCAAATTATTTAGTCTTCTACTAGGGAAAACAATTCAAAGAATGTCAACCACAAACAGCTTTTTCTTAGAAATATCTGACCAACATTTTTTTTTCTTTTTTAATTTGAACACCCAATTCTATACAGTACAGCTAAAATTGCCAATTTTCCCAATTACTTCATATGAAGATAAGAAAACTGAAAATGTACTGTAGACTAAATCCTCCCACATAGTTATCCATGATAAAACTATTCATATTGTGAATTACTTATCTGAAATAATTGCCTGTTTGATATTAAAAAAATTAATACTGCATCAGACGTACATCCGCATATTGTATGATAAAGTGTCTCCGTTGTCCATCTGAAAACACAGAAAGGACATATTCACCAGGTTTCCCATGGCTCTCTCGCACCAAGAAGTCTCCTTGCTGTTTTAGTAACTCCTGGGCTTCTATTCTTGGAATTGCACCATGATACCAGTCTTGCTCTGCCAACGGCTTCTCACTGGTTGATATAACATCAAAGAACTTGAAAAAAATATTAAAGAAACAAGTTATCATAATGTAAGCCATTTTCCATGATTTATCTTTTTTCATTACAGATACTGATAAATAATTTCACCTTGCTTTTTCTAAATTTGGCACTGCTATTAATTACAGTCCAGGTGATATACAAATATGTTTTGTAAAGGATTTATTAGTATGGTTAAAGAAAATTATACCATTCTCTCTGATGATCATATTGCCTTCCTGATTACTACTATTTCATTATCAGAACCAGTTAAATACCTCCAAGATTAAAGGTAAATTCCACAAGTTCATTTCATTCAAAATGGCTAATATGTAGTAGAAATGCAAAACTCTAGATTCAGAGATTATACCTTTTATTAGACCAACTAAGAAATAGCAACAAAAAATATATTAATAAATAAACTTCATTTTCTATCTACGGTAACTTTTTACCATCTTTAATTTTCCTTGAGCCTGAGGAAGGGTGTGTGTGCCTGAAAGCTTGCAGAAAAAGATTTTTTTTTTTTGTGACTTCTTAATTGGTCTAATAAAAGGTATCATCTCTGAATCTAGAGGTCTAGAGTTTTGCATTTCTTTTTGTCTCAGACCAACACGGCCACCAAATACACCCCTGTAACACAAAATAAGCACTTCAAATTACTAATAAAAAGAATGGGTTTTTTTTAACAGGTTAAAGAAGTTTAATGTTTGATATTAAACTTAATGATAGTTTAGCAGACTGAGCCCATGAACAGCCATTGCATTTTTGCCAGGAAATAAGTATACTTGCATTCAAGCAGTTTGTGGCAGAAGAAAGCTAGTGCTTAGACTGCAAACTGCTAAGAGCAACTTTTCTGTTCCAGAAAGTTTTCTAATACCACATGTAACACCTCTACACTTACACCCAGGATCCCAAAGTGCCTGGCTCTTCCTCTCCACATCCAAGGTGAAGGGGGGGGGGGCAGTGAGGAAGAGTGGTTGGCTCCCTGTTAGCTCCCCCAGCAGCAAGTCATTGGGACACCTGGCACTGCTGCTCACTTCCTGATCCCAAATCAGGGGACCAGGCAAGGAGTGGCTTGGGAACTGCCCCCTCTCTGCTCCCACTGATCAGCTGATCTGCAAGACTGAGCAAGGGGATGGCTGAGTGAAGACCCAGGGGCTGTTCTCTCCTGGTCCTGTTGATCAGCAGAAACAGGCAGGAAAGGTGATGTCCCTGCCACGAGACCAGGAGAGCTCCAGAAATTCCTAGAAATTGCAGCTCTGGAACTGAATGCCTATCCCTAACCTGAAATCTCACTTCATGTTCACAGAACAGCTTTGGAATACTGTCAAGGCAACAAAATCTTTCCCTTATTATCTTGTTTCTACTCTGCAGAGAACCTCTGTAAAGGAAAAATGACAGCTTGGTTTCAAAATATATTAATTCTTGGTCTTTCCACTAAAACCAGTCAGCTGTGATGGTTTCTATACTGTGGATATTATCCACTCTGAAACAGTAAGACAGACTAAGACACACAATTCATCTTACAGCTCACAAACAAGTTAGCTAACAGACAACACTTGCTCACTTCAAAACTAAATGAAATCTTAACAACTGGTCATGACTGTATCACTGCGTCTACATTTAGACACTGCAAACACTGGTATTGAAAACATAACACCACAGTTAAGGTGGTCTTTTTCTGTTTGTTTGTTTGCTTAATATTTAGATCAGGGGTGGGCAGATCAGCCCAGCTCCACAGACTCCTGCGCTCTGCTCTGGGACACTGGCCCCAAGATGGTGACCAGGGGGTGGGGCTACCCATGTGGCCCTTGATAGCTTGCCAAAATTGGGTAAGTGGCCCTCGGCCCAAAATAATTGCCTGCCCCTTTTTTAGATGGAAAAACTCTAGTTAAAGCAGAAACTTACTGGATAGACTTTACTATTATTTCTTTAATGTCACACTGGGTGTTACTGTATACTTCATAAAAAAATTATTTGATATATTTTGCTTGCTGAGATTTTTAGTAACTAATGAGTCTTTATAAATTACTGCATTTACTCAAATATGACAACCCTAAATATAAGATGACTCCCCAATAATTAGATTCTATATATGGAAAATGTATACATTTATTATAATTTTCCAGGTACAGAACGTAAGTATTGGAGGGCTGTTTTGAATCCCCTGCTGCTCCACTGCTACAGCATGGAAAGCAGTGGCTGAAGGGGACGAGTGGGAGAAAGAGGCAGGTGGCTATCTTGCTTTCTGCCCTGCCCACTTGGCCCCCCTGCCACCTAGCTCCCCCACCCCTTGCTCCCTGCAGCCTCTGCCCCTCCGTCTTGGTCTCTTCCTTCCCTGCTTCCCCAGTCTCTGCCCCTTCGTGCCCCCCATCCCCCCCTTACTGTCAGACACTGCTGGGGATGCTCCATCCAGAAGCACAGCACATGAAAGCCCAGGCCTTGCCTGGCCGTGCAGCAGTGTTGGAAGTGCTAACTGGCTGGACAGGCAATGCAGGAGTGTTGGCACTGCTGATTAGCCAGGCAAGGGAAGAAGTTTCCACGTGTTCTGTGCCCTGGAGAGACCAGCCTGAGCTCCAGCTGAGCTGTGCTTGACAGTAAGTGGAGGGGAACATGACAGGTGGGAGGCAGAAGCTGCAGAAGGAAAGTGGAAGTGGGGTTCAGGAGGCTGCTGTGGGTCTGACTATTAACCTGACACAGGCTCAGGGGCAGAGTCTGAACTGCCTGTTCCCTCCTCTGCTTCATATGCAGATACAAGATGATGGGCATTTTTCCCCATGCTGTTTGGCGGCGGGGGGAGCTCATCTTATATTTGAATAAATATGGTATTTAAATTGTACTGTTTTCTTCTGAACCAACTTTTTCATTCTTTTAACAAGTGCACATGTTTATTACACACAATACTAATTTAAATATTTTAAAGAACTATTATATAAATTAGTATGTTCTTCAAAACAGCTATTTAGGGGATCATGGTTACAGCAAAGAAAGTTTCTTGCTTAAGAAGGATTTATAATCATTTTAACATGGATTTCAAAATATTTCTCACTTTAATTAGAAAAAAACAGTAATAGTTACTCCTTTCCATAGTTGAAATCAATTCTAGCAGAATTTAGTGGAAGCAGTTTTAACACAAAATTGCCTTTTTAATGAATTTTACAATTCTCATGAGTTTTTCTTAAACATTGTTCCATGTAAATATGTTTAAGAAACATTCAACTGCTTAATAAAACTAATTAGATACTATAAAAAGCAAGCAATTTTTTCTATTTATTTTTAATTCAATGTATGCACCTGTTTTCAATTTCCCTTTTCTACCCTTCAAAGATTTCTGTGGTTTTGTATACCTTATCCTAGGATTTTTGGGGGGTGAGCCTCAATTCCCTCAGTCTGCACTGCATTCTTACTAAGGTGACCACCAGTCCCCAACTGGGCGGGACAGTCCTGAAATGTGAACGTTTAAGTCCTGGTCCCAGGCTGAATGACTCCAGGACAGCATTTCTCAGATTCCAAGTATCATGTGTAGGGATCCAGGTTTTCTGTTTACCATGGAAAAAACACAGGAAACAGGAGGGTTTTCCCTTGAAAGCTGGCAGAGTTCCAGCCTGCAAGAGGCTGTTTGGAGCTGGGGGGAACGGGATGCAGGGGGCATGCACACAAATACACAAGGCCAGGAATACAGCAGCAATGGAGAGCAGCTCCCTGCAGGTAATTCTAGTGGGGAGGGGGATGCATAGTACCAGGCGGGGGGGGGGGGGACAACAA